TTCTGTGGAGGAGGGGATAGCCAATACTTGGGATTGAACCTAGGACCTCCTGCATGCTAAATAAGCATGCATCACTGAACTATACTTCAAGCCCTCCCCTTTATTTATTTATTTTTTTGGATTTGTTTTTTGTTTTTTATTATATTTTAAATCTTGAGATAGGGTCTTACTAAGTTTTTGATTCTGCCCTTGATCCTCCTGTCTCAGCCACCCAAGAAATTAAGACTAAATATCTGCTCTACAAGCCCAGATTAATTTTTTTTCCTGTTTTCTTAATAGGTATTTACCTAGTCTTGGGCTACCATTTTGTCATCACTGTTACTGAAGCTTCTGTTGTGGGTGAAGGCTTCTAACTGCTATTCTAATTGTAAAATTAGAATGTTTTCCCATTTTAAGGCATATCATTTATTTTTATTGCCTTGCTAGCTCTTAAAATATATGTGTTGTTCATATAATGGCTGTTTTAGCAATGGATTGTTTTCATTTTGAAATCTTGAGAAATCAGCATTTAGGAAATAACTAATATTTATAATGAAAGGCAGATACTCACTTATGAAATGAAAAGCTCTTTTTTAACTTCTGAAACTTCTTCATCAGGTGATGAATGCAGCATTGGTTCAGCCACAGACTTGACTGAAAGCAGCTCCATGGTGGATGGAGACTGGACAATGGTGGATGAAAATTTCTCCACACTCAGTTTGACTCAGTCTGAGTTGGAGCACATCTCCATGGAGTTGGCAAGTAAAGGCCCTCATAAATCTCAAGTCCAGCTTCGGTGAGTTTCCCAGATTGTTCAAAACACAAAAACTTAGCCAGGGTTCTGTGTGCAGGTAGAAATTGGAGCTACTTTCTTAGTACTTACTGCCCTTGGTGTATCAACAGATCTCTTTCATAAAAATCATTCTCTTGTTGCTTTATATATAGTTATTTGCTGCACATTTTCATGGAGGCAGGATGTCTGGATTGGTGTGTTGTCATTGGCCTGATTCTCCGAGAATCCTCAGTAGTCAGTCAGATTCTGAGTATTGCCCAGTCCTCAGAGATGGATGGAGAGATGTTACAGAACATAAAAACAGGGCTGCATGCTGTGGACCGATGGGCCTCTACAGACTGGTAAGTGCTGATTTCCACCCCCACCCCACCCCAAAAAAACCAACTTATAACTCATTCATTTTAGAGGTTTTTAAGTGTGTGGAACTAAAAATGCTTTCATGTTTATGTTTTAAAGTCATTTTCTCTAACCATTGTGTCCTCAGCCACTTGAATGGGTACTGTCCATTGAGTAGTTTATAGTGTTGGTTAGTTTATAATGTGGAAGCATATGCTGGCTTATGAATGACACCATACAAGTGGTGGAAGAATGAGACTGGGACTTAGATGGTAGTTGTGTGGTTAAAATAGTGTAAAGTCTGCATGAAAAGACAGGTTATGAAGTCTAGATAAATTTCAAGACTCGGTGACGGTTACTAGCATTTCTAGATTAGAAGTAGTGGGTGGTAGTTGAGAGGACATGTCTTTCTCAGCAGTCATGTACAGATTTGAAGCTGTTTACTTCCCTTACTTACCAAATGTATTTCAGTTAGATAGTTTCCAGATGATCCCTTTGGGTCTAAAATCTATTATTCCTTGTTTCTTATTGTAATACTAATTTTGAAATAACAGTCCTTGCCCTTACTACTAAGAAATTGAAGACTGCACTGATGTCTGTTAGGAGTTTTTCTAAACACTCATGTGTGTATGCCATTGTACCTGTGTCCACGTGCAGAAGACAGAGGTCAGCTTCAGGTGCCATTCCACAGGAGCTGTTCACCTTGTTTTTTGATAGGGTCTCTCACTGGGATCTGGGGCTCACTGATTTGGGTAGGCTGGCTGTCCAGCACGCCTCCAGAAACCTTATCTGTGCCTTCTCAGCACCACCACACCAGCTTTTTATGTGGGTGCTAGGGCTTGAAATCAAGACCTCAGGCCTGCACAACAAGTCCGTTATTGACTGAGCTATCTCCCCAGCCCCTCTACCAAGTCTTTGAATTACAACAGATGACAACTAATTTTCCCCCCTTTACTCAGCCCTGGATATAAGCCATTCTTAAACATCATTAAGCCACAACTGCAGAAGCTCAGCGAAATAACAGAAGAGCAGGTCCAGCCTGACACCTTCCAGCCAATAACAGTGGGTAAGACTCCTGAACAGAGCAGCCCCAGGGCAGAGGAGAGCAGGGGCTCTTCTAGCCGTGCAAGCATCTCTCAGAGTGAGACTGGGAGTAACAGCGCGGTCAGCCGAAAAGAAGAGGACACAACACAAGCAGATGAGGAGGAGCCATTTCAGGATGGGGCTTATGACTGTTGTGTGTCCTGACAGCAGCGAGTAACATCACAACAGGCAGTATTATCACAGCAGCATGCAACTGAGTACATGCTGACTTGGCTGAATGACTTAACAGGTAAAAGAACAAGGTTCAGAAACTCTTTCGTAAAGTATTATATTTAATGAACTCTTCCACTAAATCTCTTTGACTCCATAAAAAATGTGGTATCAAAGCATCTTTCATAAGAAAAATGTAAGCTGCACTAGAAAGTAATGAGCATAATATTCATATACATGTAGAGTATTTTGGTTTTATTCACAACAGATTGGTAGTTGTTAGTGTGTAGGGATTATTTTGCCCCAGGTGAGCTTTTTCACTACTTATAGCTTATTTTCTGGTTCAGTGTATGTCTAGGCTGGTTTTGTTTTTGTGGGGTGGGTTGTTTTTTAACTTTCTTTTAAATAAATGCTAAGGTGCTTGCTATAGCTCATCAGGTACCTGAGCTACTTGTTTGCTTCCTTGTATAGTCAGCTGGACTCTAGTCAGTACTCTGAATAGATGCTACTCTCACACAGTATGGTTCATGGACAGAGACCCCTTGGATTTAGTACTCTGTTCTCTAACAGTCCTGAACTGATGGAAGCTATACCTGTGAGTTAATGTGCCTGTTTGAGCAAGCTTAATTCCTACTCGATCAGTGTGGACAGAGGGTGAGGGGTTCTTGTCAATTATGCTGACACCACTAAATTTTTGTATCAAAGAAGTGTATCTTTTTGTGAATACTCTTATGTAAATATATGCAAAGGCACTGTCCATATTTTTAAGGCATGTATTATAATCTGTAAGGTTTTATGCTGGATTCTGCATGACTATACTCACTCTTGGAATAAAGACAAGACTTGTTCTTCTTTCCAAAATGAGAGGTCTTTATAGAGACAGGTTTATTGGCTCAGCTGTAAAGTAGTAGTAGTCCCACTGATCATGAAGTGGAAGAGGTTTTGTGCAAATTAATGTAGTTTCTTATTTATTGCTTTTGTAAATTGAATAAAAATGGGCTTTTATGTAAATAGACTGGGATCCTGTATTATCAACTACTAAAATTAGTATGTAAATTCTTCATTGTAAAGTTTAAAAATATTTTATGTATTTCTAGACATGACTTAAATTTTAGTTTTCATACATTATGAAAGCAGAACTACATATTCAGTTGCTTCAGACTAAACACATACCCACCATATGTAATTCTAATTAATAACAGTATTAATTTAGATAGCTTATTTGTACTGTGCAATTTGAACAAGGAATGCAATGTTATTTTTTATGAAATCTTGTTTATTTTTATAACAATGTATTTGATGTGGACCAAATTCGTACCACTATGTAAAACAGCCTCTTATAGTGCAGATACAGCTTAGAAATAAAACTCAGCCCTCTATTCTACTTTTTAAAGAGACAGATTTAGTCCTCTTAGGCAACAATCTTTAGAGGGAACCTCAAAATTGTTTTGAAATTACTTCAAATTTCACCAACTATTTAAAATTATTGAATTTGGTAATTTACTGTTATTTACTTTCTACATTAGAAGTGCAATAATTTTACATAATAAAACTCCTGAGTGGGTAAAATATGTGACTCTTGTTACCTGGTCCTTCTGGTGCTATTTTTAAGTCGTCTCAAATCACCACCTTGTTCTGAACTTTAAAATACAGAATAAAGTTTCCTGTGTAAGTACATGCAGTGCAGCAAAAAACAAAACAAAACAAAAACAACAACAAACAAAACAAAAAAACTAAGCTGAAATTTCTTCTGTCTCATTCCATTAGGGAGAAGAGCCAGCATTTCTTGTGTTATGTCAGTTTCTAGTGTGACTATTTAGTTAATAAAAACAGTTTACCATCACAAGCAGCAAATTTCAGATGTCTTAAATAGCTGCTGCTGAGTTAATCTCAATTTTTTTGGTGGTGGTGGGGCAGTATTAAAGATGAGCCTAGGCCCCTAACCAAGTCCTTCACTAGTAAGTCACATCCCTGCCCCCACCCTCCTTTTTTTTTTTTTTTTTTTTTGAGGCAGAGCCTTGCCCAAGCTGCACAGCAATCTGTAACTTGTCAGCTGCTTCAGTTGCTGGGATTCTAGAATTGTGTGCTGCTGGGCCCAGTCATCTCTCGTCGCCTCACAATCTGAACAGCAGGGTCGGGGTTGTTAATCTTCTCCTGTGGTTCGGGCTGGGAATGACTCTTTGATGAAATGTACAGTGTCTAACTAGTAGAACTAGGAAACACCAAGGCAAGAAAGTTGGTGAGCTTAAGAAAATTATTCTTTGGTGGTTAGATACTTTTTTAAAAATTTTGTTTTGCTGTATTGTTTGGTTCAAAACGTATCAACTGTGTAAGCCATATATTTAATGAGCTTAAATACTCGGCGTAAATATTTGAAAGTTAATATATATGGTTAAATATCTTGCTGATACCAAAACAAATCATTTGGGGATTAAAAACAACCTTTGCTTGTAATTAAAGTTGCTGCTGCTTCTGTACTGTGTATCCCTCACCCCTTGGTAAAGGTAATAAAACTATTACATGAGCTTTTGTTTACTTATCTCAGGCTAACAGCACAAAAAATAATGCCACAAAACCCAATTTTCATTTTACAGTCCCACCATTTACATTCTTCTGAATGAAGTACAGTTCAGACAAATATATTTAAAATATTTATATGTAGATACAAAGTGGGAACATCTGAGTGCCTGATGACAGAATATTGAACCATCCATAACATGGGCGTACAAGTTCAAATATAGTGAAGAAATGATGCACACCATGTCATCACCAAACAGAAGTGTACAGGAAACTAGGTGTCTAACCTAGTAGGTAAATAGAAAATGATTAGCACAGTTCCTCATGTCCCTTAAATATGCTTTGTGGATTTCCTTATTCCAGACATTTCCAAACAGAAATATCTAGTACGTGGGTGTTTATTACCTTGGCATTATGTTTTCAAAATTCTTTATGTATAGTATCTACTTTGCTTTTTTTAAAGCTGAATAATGCTGTTGTGTAGATATGTTTACTGTCCACTTTAAAGGTTACAGTTTGAGTTTTCAATTTTAGAATGTAACACTATAAACATTCTCATAGCAGTTCTCCCTTACCCTGTTTTGTCTTCAACTGAGGCCCAAAAAGTACTAAATCTAAAATACAGACATAAACAGTTTCTAAATTTTTAATAGCTTTTATTATAGCACACTGTTACACCTATTTCTTGTTTTACCTAACTCGTAACTTTTATCATAGATGTATATATAGGGAAAAAGTATGATGTATCACGTATCTAAGGCTTCAGGAACCCACTGAGGATCTTGGATCATATCCCCATAGATAAGGAAGAGGATTTGGGGAACCAGACTTTTCTGTATGGATGTGTTTTCAGTTCTCTGTAGAAGTGGAGTTGCTGGATGATAAAGTGACTATGTCCTTGGGCAAATACCAAGTTCTATATGCCAGGGTACCTACACTAAAGTTCCCATTAGCTGTGAATGAAGGCTCCAGCTTCTGCTACCTAAACTTATCATCTTAGTCAAAGTCTTTCAAGAGCTGCATGAAAATGGCTTATGTGTATCTTTTTATATGGTTAGTAGACACTTGGATACCTTTGAAACCAAACTCAAAGTCGTTTTTATCTTAGGCTTGCCAGTGATTTTATATATTTTTGGATACAAGGCCTTACCCAAGCTTATGATTAGTATTTTCTCATTCTTTATGATTTCCCTTCCTTGATACTGTCTTTTGAAACAGCTTTTCTTGTTGATAGGAGTCCACAGTTTATTCTTTCCTTGTTGCTGTGCTTTTGTTTCAAAGCTGGGAAACTACAATTTAGCCCAAAGTTAGAAATATTTATATCTGTGCTTTATAGTTGTAGCTCAAACACTTTGAGTTAATTTTAAATTAATTTTTGTATATATGAAGAACTCTAACTTTAATCTTTTGCATATGGATACTCAGTTGTCTGAGTACAATATATGGAAAAGACTTTCCCCCCTGTGAACTGTCAAAAACAGACAATAAATGTGTGAGCTTCTTTCTGGACGCAATTATAATAATTGGCATCTGTTACGATGATCTGTTTACCACAGCAGCACACTAGACGATTCTTGCTTTCTATAGGAAGTTTTGGAAGTACAAGCACTACATTTATTTATACATTCAAGGCTATTTTGGCTATTTCAGGACTCTTGCGGTGGTTCCATGTGAATTTAGGACCATCTTTTCAGTGTACATACATCCAAAGTGGGACTTGCATAGGAACTGTATGGAATGTGTAAACAAATCTGAAGAATGCAGTCCTTTTTAGTATCATGCTTCCCAATCCAGGAACGTATCTTTCAATTTAGGCCTTTGATTTCTTTCAGCGGTATCTTGTAGGTTTTGCTTCTTGTTCTGTTTCATTCTTCATGGTATTCTTATAAATGGAATGCTTAATTTCATCTTTTTTTTATATAGACAGTCATGTCATTTGCAACCAGATATAATTTTGACTCTGCATTTAGGATCTGAGTGTTTTGTCTTTCCTTGCCAGATTGCCCTGGCTGGAACCACCAGAATGATGTTCAAAAAGGAGTGGCAATGACGGACATCTTGTTTTCTTCCAGTCTTTTATCATTAAGGGTGATGCTCTGGGTTCTCACTGATGACCTTTACCAGCTAGAGGAAAGCCTCTTCTGGGATGCTCAAAGCAGAGCATCATTTATTCTGTTAGTATGGTACATTTCACTAGTCCTACTTGGTCAGGATAATTGGATTAAATAAATTCTCAATAATTTTTGCAGTCAAGTATGTTTTTAAAAGTTCAGCATAATGAGGCATACATACATGCATTGTGTCTTTATTGCCCCTAAAAGGAGAAGAACAAAAATTGTTGTTTCACCTTGTATTGAACTGCTGGGAAGGAATCCCCTTAGAAAACTAAGAGCGTGGAGAAATGTCTTTGTCCTGATGCTAGCCTTTCCTTGGGTGCTGAGAATTACTGTGAGTCACAGACTGCAAGGTAACTTCTTTCCCTGTTCTTATCCCTAGCTCCCAGTTTTTTTAAAAAAAAAAAAGATAATCCTTTTGTGATTTCCTCTCCCAGTGGAGAGGATTTAAGCCTAAATATGCTCAAGATTTTACCATTTGCTAAGCAGGTTATTTTTATTTCTTTGAAATTCAGATGCATCATTTCATTCCAGGTAAAAAGACACCATGTGAAGTGAGCATTCCCATCTTGAATTCTTTGCTTACACCACTTGTTAAAATAGCAGTTATGCTTAAGCCGTGTAGATTTTTTTTTGATATATATATAAAAGACTAGGGACATAAAGTAGCCTTAATATATGGGGATAGAATAAAAGCAGTTGTAAAAGATCCATTTTTTTCCAACCAGTATGTTAAAAAGTTTATTTCAGTAACATCGTAAGGCAACAGTTAACCCTCAATAAGTCAGCAAAGCAGTGAAGAAAAGAAACAGACCACACACATTCTTCTAGCAGCTTCCTGAGTCACATATGCTGGTTGTGGTCCAACCTCCTTCATGGTAGAACCTTGGGGGAATCTTAGACATTTAATTACAGCTGCTAAACTGGAAACACGTTGTAGGACAATCATTCTTAAATATTAAGAACTGTGAAATCACAATTCTTTATATTCCTCCTATTGTGCTGCCTATATTTACTCTCATTGGGGGGGAAATGCATTACTGAGACCTTGAAAATATCTTTTTAGAAGTGAATTACTCAAGTGATCAGATAATCTTTAAAAGAGAGGGTTACTGATAACTATAGAGTGTGCTTATTAAAAGCCGAAAAAATACAGTATGTTATTACTTGACCATTTCTGGCCTCTAAGCATGCCCTGAAACTGAGCATCTTGTTACTGGATGCATAATATCAAAGTTTCATAATGTTAAAGAAAATCAAAACTGTTGGTATAGAGAAATAAATAACCCAAAGGCAGAAAACCATGATTTTGCCAAAAAGGACAATGGCACCCTGCCACAAGGAGAGACATCAGAGAACATCTTGTTTTTTATATGCTTCCTCAGCATGATGTTTTACTTCCCCTCCCCTATAATTTCTAGTAATCAATTTCAGATTAAACCAAGACCAGAACATAAGCCCATATTTTGAAATTCATTGAGCTATTAGTACTATTACTTATTTCCATCGGCTGTGGTTCTGTAGAGGCTGCGAATCTTAAGTACTACTGGACAGATAGATAATACATACACAGCAGGAGCCAGCCACTTGAAGCGCTGATAGGATTTCTGATAAGTCCAGCAGAAACAGTGGCTCCACTGTAGAGTGTCAATACATGTGGCAGTCAGCACATTACCAGCTGCAGCCCTATGTCTGCATGGGCACAGATAGTTTTTAAGGAGTTAGAGATTAAGCAGGCAATGCAAGGAACATGATTAGAAACTGACATATCACACAAGCAATTTTAAGGAAGTTTTCTCCTGCAGTGCACACTTAACTATGCTCTTGCTGAAATTCAGATGGTTCTGAGGGCCACTCTGAGAGACAGCCTCCTGTTCCTCCCTGACAAGTACATTTTTGTTTTGTTTCTGCCTTTCTGTGGCTTTTCTTTCAACTAGATCTTGGGTCATGTTTGTTGACTAACTCAAATTTTGTCTTTTTACATTTGTTAATGTAAAAAAGAAACTAGCATATTTTACTGTTCATCTGTCACCGATGGAACCCAGAGAAGCCACAAGAGGCACTGCTATGACATACTTCACAAGCTACATCCTTGTCTTCCAAGTGAAAAGCACCATTAAACCTTACTGCTGCTTTTATGCAGGATCTGAACACAGATAAAGGTATAGTTTTCTCATTCTTATATAAGCCACAACTCAGTGTCAGGATAGCCAGTCTCACTGACAGCAAGTTATAAGAACTTCTTCACTTGCTAGGAAACAGAAAACCCAATGCAGCAATAAAATTATGTTCTTAGGATTAACCTTGTATAACAGAGGATGCCTATAAAACAAAGGGAATAAATGTTCTATAGAATACCCCCTCCTCCCCTTCCCCCACAGAGCAGCCATGCTAGCCACTCAGTGCTCTGGGGAAGAAGTGTAGGTCTTACGCTGCACAAATAAAATAACCCATGAACTAACTGTGAGGAAATGCAGCTGAAAAATGTTCTCTTCCTAAATGACAGGAACATGTTTGAGAGGAAAGCAGACAATGAATGCTACCTCAGGAAAGCGGTCCAGAAGTGGCTTCCAGGACTGGGAGTCAGGCCCAGGGCTCAAGCTTCAGAACAGACACAAAAACACCCTAATGGCTGCCTGAAGAAATGTAGCTCTCGGGGCTTCCTTCTTCATGACAGTCACTTTCCTGTGACTGCAGTTATAGACAAGGAGAGCCACCATCCCAGCGAGTGGTATTTTACCCACGATCCACTGACAACAAATGGACTTACCTATTTCATTAACAGTAGACTAACAGTGTACATCTTTCTTGATCCGCAAAGGAAAGCTACTGAAGTGGTATGTTGCTGAGTCCTTACAGTCATATAAATGACTATATGAATGGCAGTATCCACGTGTGCTTAAGTGCCAGAAAACTGGAATTTTCAAGTGACAAAAAGGCCAGGTACCACTACCCCAAAGTTTAACCCATATGGTACTTGGCCTTGAAGAGTGTTATATCAAAAGTTCTTTGAACATACGCTCATTAAAATTCATTGACTTGGGATATATAACATATAACATGGGAGAGAAACTGCCCAATGGAATGTCCATGGGGCATGTACTCGAAGCACTATTAAAACACAAAGAGACTGTAGGTGCAAACCCACGCAGAGGGGAATGTCCAGTCCGGGAACTTCTCCTTCAGAGCATCAAGCTGAGAAGATCTCTTGTCTTCCCCTGATAGGTAGTGGGCAGCAATGGCCACCGTGACCATTCCTTCTGGCTGTTCTTCTGATACCTGACAGAGAAAATCAGTTAGCCACCTTGGAGTTCAGTGTTCTGGCTTCTGAGAACTAAGTACTATCTGGGAGGCTGGGGAATTCCCACCTGTACTTCTATCCAGAACTGCCATGCAGAGGCCTGGAGTCCATGGGAATAAAAGACAAAGTAGTCCCCTCCTCTGCTTGTGACTGGAGTGCCATTGCCAAGAGACCACTGAGAAAGTGTTGATCCTTTGTGGGTCCGAACATAGAAAGACATATGGCTTGGTCCTGAAAGGAACATTTCCATCAGTCAGCAGTGACAAGCGGTACAGTTAACACCAAAACCATACTGTCATGGTTCATCTGTGCTGTGACTTTACACATACTCTCCACAAGGCAGGAGGTGTACCAACCTGGACGTTGAGTATCTAGTAACAAGGTTAAGTAATGAGAGAACAGAAAAGGCAGAGCCTCTAAATGAGAAAAGTAACTGCTGATGTAATTTACCTAATCCCACCCCAACTCAGAAAAGGTTGCAGAAAGAGTTGGAAGGTAGTCTGCCTGTGGCAAGTTCCTTAAGGCTCTCAGTGTTTGGACTACGGTAACGGATCAACCTGACTCAAATCCACTCCCTCTATTTATATGTTATCAGAAAAGTCTAGGCTAATTTGGCCAAATATCAAGGTACTATTTAGTCGTGACAGATTGACACAAAGTTAACCATCACATTTCCACAATGGACAATTCATCAGAAAGGGAAATAATTCTGATTTGTTTATTGAAGAATAGCTTGAGATGCCTATGAGGCTTTATACTAAAGACCCAAAATGCTCTGCCAAGAAGTCTGGGGTCAGTCTGCAAGCAGCAGAACTTCATTAAGTTTTCTTAGGTGGGAAGTGACAATCAAATGTAGTACATCAGCCGGCAGCACTATGAGGGAAATCCTAGAAGACTCAACATGGAAAAGGGAAAAGTCAAGTCTTCAGGTCAATGCGTATCTGTTTGACAATAAACTGTAACATAAGATTTCAGTAAGGCTTCTTAAAAGTCATAACCAGGCCAGGCAGTGGTGGCTCTTGAGAGGCAGAGGCAGGTGGATCTCTGAGTTTGGGGCCAGGCTGGTCTACAGAGTGAGTTCCAGGACAGCCAAGGCTACACAGAGAACACTCCAGTAATCCCTCAGGAGGCTGAGAGCAGGGAGACCATGAGTTTGAAGCTAGCTTGTCCAAAAGTAAATAAATAAAAGGCAGAATAAGCTGTAATCATCTTAAGGAAGAAGCACAGAAGTGTCACAGGACTTGCCTGTTGCTTTTGAGGCCAATTCCATGTCCTCCTAAGGGGGTGAAATGAGGACATGGACTTACTGCAAGTCTGAAGCAACCATTAAAATAAGTTGAATTTTGGACTAAAAAGATGTTCAGCTATTAAGAGCATCTGCTGCTCACTATATGTTACCTGGCTAGCCTAGAGTTCCATATATAGACCATGTTGACCCTGAACACACAGAAATCTGCTTGCCTCCTCTGGAATTGTGTATAAACACACCCGGCCTGATTTTAATTGGCCTTTGTATTTGAGTATACAAAGGGTTAAAATTTTTATAAACTAGTTGGCCAAGTATGGTGGCACACCTGTAACCTCAGTACTGGTAAATCAGAGGTGGAAAACTCATAAGCTGAGGCAAGACTGAGCTACAGAGTAAGACCCTGTCTCGGGCAAATCAAAGGCATACCCACCCAGCAGTACAGTGTTGTTTGAAAGTGCAGCTGGATTAGTTGCAGATACACATTTCAAACTCAAGGGCAATTACTAAAAATAAAACTGCAGCAGGGCTAGAAAGATGTTGCAGCAGTTCAGAACACTTGCTGCCCTTTCTGAGAACCAGAGGTTAGTTCCAGCATCCACATTGAGCAGTTCGCAATTGCCTTCACTCCAGTTCCTGGAGATCCAACACTCTCCTTCAGGACTCTTTGAGTACTGCAGACATATGACATGCATTGACACAGACACACATATGCAAATACAAAACTTTGGGGTTTTTTTTTTGTTGTTTTTGTTTTTGTTTTTCAAAACAGGGTTTCTCTGGCTGTCCTGGAACTTGTTATGTAGACCAGGCTGGCCTTGAATTCACAGAGATCTGCCTGCTTCCCAGGTGCTGGCATTAAAGGCATGCACCACACCACTGCCCAGAACAACAAAAAAAAAAATTTTAAAGATAGTTAATAGCTCAGTGAAAATTACATTAAGGCATAAAAAGAGTGGAAGACAAAAAGAACAAAGGCAAAAATATTAACCCTTTAAACTGGGTAATAAAACAGACCCACCTAAGTACTGTCTATAAGAAATCCTCCTTAGATATGAAGACACATAGATTAAAAGTAATGGAAAGTGCTAGAGATAGAGCTTAATGATAGAGTGTTTACCTAATATGTGTATAGCACAAAAATAAATATAAGCAGAAAAATACACAATTTTAAATTAGCAGTAATCAAAAGAAAGCTTTGGGGGGCTACAGTTGACTCAATGAAAAATTTCACTGTTGAAAAGGCAATTATATGAGGTCAAAAAGTAGTCTATAAGACATAACAACACTCAACTATATTCACCTACCAGCATAGCCTAAGCATGGGTAAGACAAAACCTCACAGCTAACTGAAACTGGGCCCACGTGACAGTTACAGAATGTCCATCCTACAGTAGCCGCTCACAAATGCTGCAAGCCACAAAAATATACAAAGTAGGATTTCAGCTGATTATGACAAAGCTATACCTGGAAGAAGCCAAGGGCCTTCTGGAGGTCAAGCTGAGAGGAGGAGCCGTGGTGATATTTGGCTTTTGATTATCAGCCGTTTCCTGCTATGAGTTTCTTGTGTGCTATTGTAGCTTTTCCACCATTTATTGGGCACCATTTCCCCTCTACTAACAGAATATTTAGATAACCTGCGCTAACAGCTATGCCCAGTCAGAACCCCAGTTCAAGCCTCCCTGTAATTATCGTCATTGGCAGCATCCGGCCAGGTCCATCCCCAGATGGTGGAAAGTACCTTATCAGAGATACCTCTGTACTCTCTAAGAACAGACTTAAGCATCCAGGCTACCTGTTTGAGAAGGCCTGTCGGATGTGCCAATTAAGCTTAACTTCCTCCTTTCTCAAATCTTATCTGCAGTTCCAGATCTCCCTTTAACTATCACCAGAGGCATCTAGCTGTACACAGGCTGCCTAGCGACCGAGCACACTTTCCCCCACCCTGCAGATAAACGGCAGATAACTTGGACAGATAGGAGCCACAGGAAAAAAGAAGGCAGTTTTATTTTCTCCCAATGACCTAGCAACTTACAGATTCTTAACATTTTCTACCAGTCACATTTAAGACTATAGTTGAGCACATAAGATCTCTCTTCTTAGATACTACCTGAATTCAGCCTTTAGTTAATTCATTTCCCTTTGGGGTTGCAAATGATAATTAACAGTTATTGCCACTCTATGTGATTCTTATCACCCTTCCATTTGACCCTGGAAGCCTGGCTTTGCACTGCCAAGGGATTACTGCTTGTAAGTGTATATATACCAGGACTCCCAGGGCATGGGAGGAAGAAGATTTGGAAGAATAAATGACTAAGAGCTCTGTGTGCTGAGATTCTATTTCCTGAAAATAGTCCTCGCCATTCGTAGTTTCTCTCCTGAGCCCCTGGGATGTGTGGTATTAAGGCTGGTCCCTCTAATATTATACAAGACAAAAGGAGCATTGCCCAAGCCACTGAATCCTTAGCATACAGCACACCTTAACGTATTTACAATAGAAATCATGGAAACTGATTTCTTGGCTCAAAATGAGATTAAAGAAGAAACTGATGTCAGAAAAGAAGCTGGAATATCTGGAATTATTTGGAAACTAAAGAACACACTTCTGATAACAAATGGGTCAATACAGAAGTCTCAGGGGCTGGGATATAGTTCAGTAGTAGAACACCTGCCTTGCATGGGCGAAGTTCTAGGAACAAGTGTCAAGAGAAAGGGTTTTGTTTTAGTATTTTGAACTAAGCACTAAAACATAACTTAAAATTTGTGGAATCTAGAGCCAGCCTCATAAACTATGGTTTGTATAACTTGCAGGTTGTATAACTAAATGTGTGTATGTGGGGGGGTGGGGGGGGGTGTCAAGGGAAAGTTAGCAACAGTAAAAGGTTTCTGAATATGCGCACACACACACACACTATGACAGTCTGCATGAGAATGGCCCCCACAGGCTTGTCTAGTTATTGCTTACTCCCCAGTTGGCAGAACTGTTTGGCAAGGACTAGGAGGTGTGTCCCTGGGGGCAGGCACTGAGGTCTCAAAAGCCCACACCATTCCTACTTAGCCTTCCCTGCTTTATGCTCATAGACCAGAATACAAGCTCCCAGCTACTGCTCCAGCACCATCTTGTCACCTTGTTCCCCATCATGATAGCCATGGACTCTGACCCTCTGGAACTGTGAGCCCCAAACTAAATGCTTTTATTTTACAGGTTGTCTTGGTCAGAGTATCTTAGCACAGCAACAGAAAAGTAATTAAGACAAACATCAAATGAATCCAAGGTATTTCTAAAGCCTTCACCTATAATGTAGTCCATGACTTAAACACGGCCTTGGATCTGAACACACAACGTGAATACTTTGTATTATGTATGCAGTGTACCAAATGCTGCCTGAAACATATTTGCTTAGATTTGATATTCATTAGGTTATGAATTAGTGTTTATACTGTCTGTACAAAATTTTCTTCTCTTGCAGAAACATAACAGTCATATAGTCATACACTTACAGTATTTTTACCTTCATTCATCAGCATGTAAATATCAAATCTGACTATCTTTGGACTGGAATGTGTTAGACTTTAATTTTTAGACTTTCTGTTTGAGTTCCTAACAAGTTTCATAAATGAATTTTGTCTTCAGATTAGAACAAAATTTTACAGTTTCTGCATTGGCCCTAACTATACTTCTGCCATTTGTACTACATATTTATTTGGAGTGGCACTCTCGGCACTGATGACTATAAAGTCAAAATACTGATCAACTTTTGGAAATACAGAAGATGCTCTAAATCCGAAAACAGCAAGTACTCAAGTTGTAATTCTTCATGTAGAAAATAAACAAGGACAACCATCTCCCCACTGTGCAAACCTGCTTTTGTTGTTAGTAACTGATAAAACTGTATGTACACCAAAGAACTTTTAAAATAAATTTCTCTGATTTATTATCAATAAATGATTTATTTGTATACCTATTTTACAGTCCCAGAGCCAAATAAAATTTTCTCAGGTGTAAAAAGTTGCAGGTATAAAAATTTTAAGGAACCTTAACCAAGAACGTGAGCAGTATCCAAAAGGAAATTCATAGCACTGAATGCATATATTAGGAATAACAATCTAAAGGAGGTAGTTAAGCTTCCACTTTACTAGACAAGAAAAAGAAGAGTAAATTAAATAAAAACAAGTAGGACAAAAGTGGTCTAGAGCAGAATTCAAAGGAGAGTATCAACTAATCCAAAAACTGTTTTGGGGGGGGGAATGAATAAAATCGATAAGCTTTAAAGTGTAGTTTCTGCACAAATTTTTTGTAATCCTAAAACTGTTCTAAGCAATAAAAATATATTAGATTTTCTTGAAGAAGGAAGTTTCAATTACTGTTAGAAATATTATAAGGGATGACAGCCCATGGTTCCAGCACTCAAGAGGCAGAAAGATTGTGAATCGGAGGCCAGCCTGAGCTCTACAATGAGACTCTCGGAAGATGGGTGAACGGGTGGGTGGGTGGATGGATGGATGGATGGATGGACGGACGGACGGACGGACGGACAGATGGATAGGAAAACATATATGGCAACTTACTGAAAAGCTTAGGAAGTGAGGTGAAAAGAAAACTGTCTCACCTGTTGCTTCAAAGGTCAACTTTATAGAATCCCATGGTGTCTTCTCTTTGGATATAAGTCTGAAATGAGCAGGATTTCTTGGAGAAATTTCTGGAGCCGGAAGATACCAATTTTTCCTATTGGAAAGGTAGTGTTAAAATTTAGGATGCCTTATTAACTGATAGTAAAACATAACTCAGAGAAGAGTTCAGAATACACAAAGGGGTATGAAAAACACCTAATGAGTATGATAAATAATGCCAGCTCCTCTGATGCCCAGGTTGTGTAACAAATCCTTTCTAACTTTAAGATCAAAGAAGTTAAGGGCTAGGGAGATGGCTAAACAGTTAAAAGCCCAGGCTGCTCTTGCAGTGGACCCAGGTTCAGTTCCCAGCATCTACATGGCAGCTTACAGCCACCTGTAACTCCAGAACCAGAGATCCAATGCTCTCTTCTGGCCTCCAGAGGCACACGGCACACACACTGTGCACATAAATGCAGGGAAAACATACATACACATAAAGTGTATCGTTTTAAAAGAAGAGGAACTACCCAGGCATTTCCACTACCCATCCTATTTCCTTGATGCAGTCCTGAGATGCCAACTCTAAGACCATCTCAAGCTGGGATGGAGCTGTAACTGTTGTTTGTATTATTTCAGGAGGGTCACCCTTTCTAACTACTACTCAGGTTTCTTGAAGAGAGACTTCTTAAAACATTCTCCTGAGTCCATTATCTGACTAAAGAAATCAGAATTTTGTAGTTATATTACAAACAAGCATTTTTTTTTTTGTTCTTTGTAAAGCATTACAAACAACACTTGACTAAGTTGATAAATTTCAATTAATAAGAACCCTGATACATTGACAGAATTTGGGAACTGACCCCCAACTTAAACAAAAAGTAATGACCAACCTGATCAGAAAGTGCACTGGCAGATACCAAGGGAAGCCACAGAGTGGGGCATTCTCCTCACAGTGAGCTCGGATTGTATCGTTGATCTCAGGAATGTGAGGTGTTATGTGAGACATTCCAGTGTAATCAAACCCATTGATCCATATTCCAGAGTCTCTTTTTACTACATTTCCTTCCAAGTTATGAAAAGTTCTACTCATGTGCTAAAAAGAACAAGACTAGTAAGGAAACGTTTCAGCTACTTCACCCACATTCCTACCCCAGTTCAGAAATGATTAGAAATGGGAAACAAAAAGGACACTTTATAATTACTAAGGTACTATTAGTGGTTTTTTTTTTCCTTTTAAACCAGATGACGGATATGTAAATGACTGTTTTATTGTAAATCACAAATGTAGTTGAGTGTATCTTTAAATTATATATAAAATTTAGCTGGGCACTGGTGGCACACACCTTTAATCCCAGCACTCAAGAGGCAGAGGCAGGTGAATCGCTGTAAGTTTAAGGCCAGCCTGGTCTACAGAGCGAGTTCTAGGACGGCCAAAGCTGTTACACAGAGAAACCCTCTCTTGGGGAGGGGGTGTTTATATAAACTTGATCAGGAACAGTGTGTGTGCTTGTAGTCTCAATTACTCAGAAGGCTGAAGTGAAGGATCATTTGAGCCCAGGAGTTGAAGGAAGTCTAGGCAATACTGCAAGAGTCTGCCTCAAAAAACAAACAGGGGCTGGTGAAATGGCTTAGTGGTTAGAGCATGTACTGCTCTTCCAGAGCACCCTGGTTCAATTCCCAGCACCCACATCAGGTGACTCCTAACAACCTGTAACTCCAGCTCCAGGGAATCGATGCCTCTGGCTTCATAGAACACCTGCACTCAGATTCACATACCCACACAGATACATGTATATACATAATTAAAAGTAAAGTGCCTTAAAAACCAAATGACAAAAAATTAAATTCTATTCAAATATAAGTTAGAATTCCTTTCAGAGAAAGATTTAAAACATGGGAAGCATGTGTGTATATTCACACTCATTTCCTCCTCTGTGCATTACAGGAAGCTAATCCATATGCAGAACAAGACAGAAATGGCAGCATACCACGTGTCAGACTGAATGCCCCAAAGGCTTACAGTGCATTTAAAACAGCTACTCAGCAGCAGCAGCAGAAAACAACAGCCCGAAGTTAGGCAACAGCTCAGAAAGGGCTCCCGTGGCATGGGTGGGCAAACGGAGGCGCATGTTGGAACTCAGGGCTGTCAGCTTTGGGCAGAATACATACAGCTGCTTTCACTCTATAAAAGCAGGCTATCAGGGAGAGAAACTTGCACAGCTGGCAGGACTTAAATAGCCATTATTTTGTTCTTTATGGGGAAAAGAACCCGAAACAAATCACAGTCCTTTCAAAAATAAAAATGTAACTTTTTCTAAATACTACTGCCATAGTTAGAACAATTGGCATGCCACTGAAGATCACTTAAAAACTTCTTCACCAAAGGTATTACACAAAACGGATCACTGTCCTTTAAGACTACAGCCAAGGACTATTTGGCTTCCTTTCAAAATCTCTCAAATTGCAGTATTTTTAATTTTTCAGCTCTTAAGTACTGATCTAAATGATGACCCAGGTGGCATTGTGTGACCACACTCTACAACCTCTGTTTAACAAAAGCAGAGACAAAGCTCTGGCTATATAGTACCACTTCTAAGAGGTTGTGGAAAAAGACCTGAAATCTAAAGTCCTAAACTTCATTTTCGTAACCCCTTTTTAGGTTATTTCATCACATATTACTTTGAATGTTACTACGGCTCAATTTTACTAACAATTTTTAATTTCTATTTTATTTTGCTAGTAATAGTGTAAGCCTTTTAGTCAGCCTACAGATATTTATGCAATTGGTATTTTTAAATGCTCATGATTTCCACATGATATATATGCATATATTATACACACACACATATCATGGAAAGTATATCTAACTAATAAGAATGCCCACCGATGGTCAGTGTTCCTTGTTGCTTTATACACAAAGAAATCTAGACCAACTAAATTATGTCAACAGCAGAAAAGTCAGTTTTCCTGTTCACTAGTGAATCTCAAAACAGACAGAGCAAATTTCATCTCCTGAATCTCACTGTTTATGAAGAACTGCCCTTACCTGAAGGAACACTCTCTTTGGCTTTGGACTCGCAGGATTGGAGCTGTATGGGAAAAAGGTTCCACTGCAGACAAGGAGGAACGTGACTGCACACACCAGTGTCAGAGTCAGCATGGTTTTCTTTGTGCTTTTCACAAGGTAGATGAATTTAATCTAAACACAAGCACAAAACCAGAAAAGTTATGAATTCCTACCATTGGTAGAGAGGTCTTCTAAATGATCTTTCTTAGTGGGTATTGTCACTAGGAGCCTGTGTACTATGACACCCAGTAAACAAAGCAGCAATTCCTCAGGTATTTCCATCCTAAGTCAGAGTCTAGAAAAGGACAGATGCCTTCAACTGGCCAGAATGGAACTCTCTGAGTATGGGCCGAAAGCAACAGGGAGAACGGAAACAAAGCGCAATGATCCTGTGCTCATACATCAATGGAGAAAGGACCAGAACCCATTAGCACCAAGCCACTGCCTTCTCACTGTCAACAGTGGCCAACCCTGCACGACAGATCCCACTGAACGGAACCCAACCATGCCATCAAAGCTGCCAAACTGCCCAAGGTAAGTTTTTATGCCTAAGCATGTGTTTCATTAAAGTTCAGATTCCACTCTAGTGTTTATAACATGCTAATAAGAGTTGGAGTCATAAACTAGTTCTTAGATGGATCTTCTCAAAGTTGCATTTGAGGAAAAACTACACTATGAAACGGTCTTGTCCTTTTCAGTTCACCACTGTGAACACTAGACAATGAGTCTGAACTTGGGACAGTGAACATGAATCAGTTGCAAGGTTGGCATCCAAAAACTATATTTAGCTTTTTTATTGTAGCCAAATCAGCAAATGGAAAGAAGAGTGCACACCAAATGCACCTGCAGTCCCTCGGGTCTGAGAAACACCTAAAGCAGCAGTTAGCTCCTACTGGTGTTACTTCAGCTTCCTGCCTATACAGAGACACTTCCATTGAGAGGAACATAAAAACATCTATCAAAGTCTGTGCAAAGTTAAAGACTCCTCATATCTAGTGTTCCCATATCCTTTTCTGGGCAATTTCAACTAAACAGTACTATTCTTGGATGGGAGATCTTACTCTCGTTTATTACATTAGGAAATAATCACCCTAGACAGCAAAACAACTGTAACCCTATCTGCTCCTCTATCACACTGTCATAATGCCCATAATGTTTCAACTATCCCACCAAGTAATGAGCTTCCCCTCCACTGGAAGCCTGGTAAATTTGGACATACAGAAGCTGTTCAGTTAAAGTTGGATGAAGGAAGGGAAATGGAGAGAAGTGAACATATATAAAATGCTTGCTACAGGGCTATAGTTTTGGCACTTCCAAGCCCAGCTACTGCCAAAGCTGTCCTAAAATCTGACTTTAGCCTACCATTTCCCACTGAAGTCCCCTCTCCCTCCAAACTGTGAGACTCATCTTCTGGGTGGTTATAAATGAATGGACTTGTAGAATGAAGAAGAAGGAGTGGCCATAAAGAGACAGTATGCTTGGAGTCCACAGTTAAGCACCTTTACAGTTGTATTCTTTTACCACTTTTAAGTTCTTAAATGAGTACAGAATCAAATGAAGAAGCTAAGTGTGGTAGCACAGTTGTGTAATCCCAGCACTTAGTAAGTGGAGGCAGGAGGATCAGGAGTTCAAGGTCATCTTCAGAAAGTTGAAGGCTAGCCTGGGCCACATGAGACCTTATCTCAAAACACCAAAATTACTGAGTAGTGGAGCTGGGAGGATGGTTCAGTGGGCACGAGCACTCAGTGTGCACACATGAGGACTTGAATTTTAACCCCTGCACTCCTATAAAAAGCCAGGCACGACTATCCATGCCCCTAGCACTGAGGGGTAGAGACAGGAGCTCACAGGTTGGCCAGCCTACCTGAAAAGCAAGCTTCTGGGTCAGTGAGAGTTATTCTCGCAAGGAAATAAGGCAGAGCATGGCAGGGGAAGGTACCTGATGTCACCTTGTGCCCTCAGAATGCCATTCACCCACACATGTATATACAACACATATTAAAGGAAAAAAAAAGCCCATAAAAAGGCCCCGGGAATAGCCTGTGAGTACTATGACAGGGCTGCTTCTCGTGAGTGTCCTGACATCACACCTATCATCAGGCTCTTTCAGCTCTCAGCCATCGACAGAACCATGACACCCAACAAAGAATAACTCCAGGAAATATGGTAACTTATCACTTAACAAGAGTGTAACTTTTCTAAAACATATATTTAATAAAGCCCCAATGGCTAAGAAACCTCTCAAGTAAAGTATATGGTTCAGTGCTCTGTTACCCAAGGAACAACCTCATTCAGTTAGGAAGCCACTGTCTTCAGCACGATGACATATAAACAAGGTGAAGGATAACTTACATCATCTAAGAGTAACAGCACCGTTTCACATAGTAACAAAAAGGAAATAAATTGTTTTGTTTTAGGGGAAGAATGGTGGTTTTGAGACAGGTTCTTACTGCATAGCCTTGTCCTAATCTAACCTATAAACTCACTATGCAGACCAGCCTGGCCTAGGACTCAAAAACGTTAGGATTACAGGTATATGCCAGTCTTCCTGCCTCTGCCTTCCAAGTGCTGAGATTACAGGTACATACCAACATGCTCAGTTGTAAAGTTTTTTTTATATCCCAAGAGGCATTCTCTGCAAAAACTTTCCTAATAAGATATACTTTCTGATAATACACTTTTATCTCATTCTTCTGGCTTTCAAGATAGACATGCTTTGGGGACTTTCCTAATCTCCAGTTTCACAGGTTCATTATTCTCACTTGTATATGATCATGGAATAGAATTCAAATATCCTGTACCTGAATCACCTTTGTAGGCACCAAAGAATTGAGTGATTCTCAACCTGGGGGTCAAACAACCCATTCACAGGGGTCACCTTAGACCAATCAGAAAACACAGGTATTTGCATTATGATTCATAACAGTAGCAAAATTACAGGTATGAAGTAGTAACAGAATAATCTTATGGTTGGGGTCACCACATGAGGAACTGGGTCACAGCATTAGGAAGATGGAGAACCTCTGCTCTAATAGGATATGTACAACGAAAAGCTGATTCATAACATAGCTGCCTTCAGACTCCCATTTACAGAGGACAGAACTCTACTCTCTCCTTTATGGTTGTATTGTTTGTTTTTTAGGACAGGGTAGCAATATGTAGTTGAGGTTGGCTTCAAACTCATGATCTTCCTGCCTCAGCCTCCCAAGTGCTGGGATTACAGTTACGTTTCTCTGTGCCCAGGTCTCTATCTCCTGTAATCCTCACACAGCAAACCTATCTATTAGTATGGTTTGAATAGGAAATGTTTCCTTCAGGTTTATGTGTTTGAACACTTAGCCCCTAGCTGGTAGGTGCTATTTGGGGAAACTGTAGCAATTAAGGAGGCAAGGTCTAAGTGGACAGAGTGGGTCTCAGGTCTGTTGTCCCCAGTTTCTTGTCACAGTCTCACCTAGACCTGCCATGCCACAGGCTTCCACCACAGAAGCACCACATGCCTTTCCCACTATGATGGACAGTACCTGCAGGAACCATGAGCCAAAATAATTTTTTCCCTTCTTAAGTTATTTTTATCAGGTATTTTGCCACAGTGATAAGAAAAGCAAGAACACTTAACAAAGACAGGGTGGAAGGGTTAATAATAAAACTAGAAGAAGTAAACAGCAAACATTAGGATTCCATCCACCTCTGTAAATGCCAGCAAGAGCTAATCATTACCTTGTAGGTTTTGTTGTTTGTCGGGAAGAAGGGCCATTTCAGTACTGGGGAACTGAGCCTAGGGCCTCATGCATGTGAGGCAGGCAGGCACTCTATCAGTGCGCTGCAGCCCCAGCCTTTAATCTTATCTTCAAGGCAGACAGTTGGGATGCCAGCTTTCTTTTAGTAAAATATAGCCAATAGCAAGTGGTATGCATAAGAATTACTTTTTAATGTATGTGGAGCTTTCCTGGTAGCTGAAGAAATTCCTGAGGCTGATGTGGACTATGACTGTGGTATTCCCCTTACCTCCCCGGGTCTTCAGAATCCAGTTTCCACAGGAACCACCTTTACTGCAGTGATATGAAAACCCTCACTATCCTGTCCATGAACAACTAAGCTGTAAGAGCTCCAATCCCTGTCTCCACTTGGTTCCCTACCCTCGGACCTCAAGGTATACCTATAGATAATCAGTAAGTACTCCTTAGGAATTTGAACTGAAAAGCACAAAACAGAGAGCTGCTTTCTCTGGAGAGGCTCAGCATCAGCTTCAGAATCATGCCAAAAGAATTTTGCCTGAGAGTTCTGGTCCATACTAATTCACCATCTCTCTTTCCTTTAAAGAGTCCCACGAGAAAAGAAGCCCTGACAAGCAAAGGTACGACTCCGTCCCTGGGCAGCATACTCACAGAGACAGACAGACAAAAGTATGTTTGGGTGCCACTCCAAGAGGCGAAGTTCATGAAGTGTGGCTTGACATCAATGAAGTAGTAAAATGACAATAAAAATGCCTCAATGGCACACACACAAATATTACTGAAACTACTGGGCATTAACATTGGCCTCTTAACTACCTTCTTCAAAACATGCTCCTAGGGACTATTCTAAAAGTTCAGAAACAGAACACCTCACAATCCATACTTGGTATATATTCCACACATTCATATCTTTGAGGATGGAGGGCTACCTGAAAAGAGGATTTGGGAACTAGATATGATGGCTTCCAGCACTTGGGAGGCTGAAGCAGAAGGAAGACCACAAAGTCAAGGCCAGCTTGGGCTACAGAATTCGAAACCAGAGTGAGAACCTGTCTCCAGGGGGGAGGAAGGAAGAGAAAGTGAAAGAGGGGATCCTGATCGCTAGGAAGGCAATATATATATTTTAAACCTTAAAACTGTAACAATAAAACAGGGTCTCACCATGCAGCTCTGGCTTGTCTGGAACTCTCAGATCCTGTTGTTTCTACCTCCTGAGTGCTAGGATTAAAGTGTGCATCACCATGTCCTACATTTTCTTAGCATACTGAACCCATAGACACTGATCATATCTTTTGTTTAATTTTTTCTTAATAAAGTAAAGCAACATAATTTCACAGAATCCAGTATAGCTAAAGTTATCACATATATAAAAAATAAAATAAACAAAACCCATTTTTCCTTACAAAATAGGAGGAAAGAATCATCACACAGACAGCCAAAATGGAGGCTAGTACAACATCCGGGGGTATTTCTGAACCACTTCTTCCAAGGATAGGAGTAAACATCTCAAATACAGCCCAGATGAGATACAGTCCATAAAGATATGGGATAAACATCCCCAAAAGGTAAAGAGCAACAAATCTTCCTTGGGCACCTGGGAAAAGAAAGAAAACAAACGTATAAGATTCTATAAGATGCAGGGCTCATTTTCAGTGTTCATCTGCTTTGGCATCTGACAGAAACTGAGTCAGATGTGATCTAGTGCAATTAGACATTTTCATCAGGGAGAATAAAATACAAATAATATTAAAGTAATATAATAGCATGTGTTCAGAAACATGAGAATGGGATGGGGTATACAGTATAAGAGAAATATTTGCATGGCATGAAAATTTAAATATTTTGGAAAGCCAATTGGTTAAATAAATAATCTCTAGGAGCCCTGCTTTTTTTTTTTTTTTTTTTTTTTTTTGGTTTTTCGAGACAGGGTTTCTCTGTGTAGCTTTGCGCCTTTCCTGGAACTCGCTTTGGAGACCAGTCTGGCCTCGAACTCACAGAGATCCGCCTGGCTCTGCCTCCCGAGTGCTGGGATTAAAGGCGTGCGCCACCACCGCCCGGCTGGAGCCCTGCATTTTTAACACAGTTTTTAATCAAAAACCAAAATTACCCTACCGTGCTTGTTGAAGTCCTTGTACACACAAAGCTTTGTGAGCAACGGAAATGCTACCCAGACAGCACTCATGAATGCAGAGCAAAATCCTTGGTAAGTGAGAGCAACAAGAAAGGCACAGTGCACAGACAATGCGGTGTCAAAGAACACTTCTCCCAGATACTGGTTGCTGACATTCTGAAAGAAAGACAAATGCAGTCTTGTTCAGTCATTCATAGAGATCTTTGATTACAATGTCTTCAAGCCAAATGCATCTTATTTTCAGCAGGGTCCACCCTTCAAACGGATCTTGAAGGGAGCACTCACATTGCTATTCCTGCCAGATGTGACTGATTGCAGCCGCTGCACAGGACGAGGCAGTTGGACAAGACAAGAAGGCAGGGGCCACACTGCTCTTCTATCATAAGGCTTGGAAACGCCCCCCAATAAAAAGATTCCTAAAAACAGCCATCCCATGTGCTTTTTCTGTTTCTGCAACTTCCAAACACTGTTTCAAGCAATCTAGTGGTTCATGCAGGACATTACCAGCTGCTGCAGCATCACAGAACACATACCAAGCCACCTCCCCTTCCCAGCGATGGCCACAGTGGACGTGTGGCTTGATTTTCCTGTCTTTCCTATTGCTACTCCGCCACCTTCTCTACTCTGGATACTTTCTTACACATCTGAAGTTCCTTTTAGAGACATGGAGTCCAAGAGCACCAGAAAGCTGCCTCTGGAAGGTCAAACATTTTAACTTATGCCAAAGTGATTCCAGAAATGCAAACCTTAAATTATAACTACAATGCACAGATACCAAAGAGGGAATGGCTGGTCTATAAGCTTCTTTTTCTATCATCTCATTTCTGTCTTTAGGGACGGCACTTTAAAGTTCACTGACAAACAGGTTTGAGTTGTTAAATACTTAGATGTCCAACCCAGTGTGAAGAGGCGTGGTCTTAAAGGAAAACAATCCTAAGAATTCAACCTGAAGGCTAGATGGGCGATGCACACCTGTGGTCCCAGCACTCCAGAGGCTAAGTCAACCACCCTGAAGTTTGAAGCCTGGGTAGGCTACAGAGCAAGATTCTTACCCAATCTGGGAACACAGACTCTTGCCTCAAAATAGTAATAGCAGCAGTAATTCAGTCTGAAACCGAATGTACTCAAAGAGCTTAGTAAGGAACACTGAAGTTATTTAGCATGTTTTACAGGAAATGCCAAAGCTGAAGAAATGAAACAACAGTCTTCGATCTGTTTTCATCCACACCTCTGTTCATCCCTCCCTCATGCTTGTCCTTTTCCAATACAGTTGCCACAGTTTTCTTACTAAATCACGGAACTACTCGACTCTATCCTGCGAAGAATAGGTTAATGGTGGCCTAACTGATTCTTAGGGCCACGCTCCAGTTTCACCCTGACCCACTTTCCGTGTGCTATGGTTTTTATTCCCTTGTCTTCACCACACTAGACTTTTTCTGACTATGGCCCAAATGTGTCTTGCACATTCCCACTTTTGACTGATCACCAGCCTGTTCTCTACCAGACACTTATGCTTCTAAAACCCCATTCAAATGTCCCCATCTTCATCAATAAAGGCTCACTCAATGCAAAACCCATGTCTCTTGCCCCTGCATTCTCAAAGCACTCTACTTCACATGCACAAAAACAAGAATCACTGTAGTTCTTACATCTTACCAAATGCAGCTGATTGCAAAGAAAGATATTACATTCTCATGGAGCACTCAGCTAAGAGTCTCTAAAACAATAAGGCACGCTACTCAAAAAGCTGAGGCAGAGGAGCACACGTTCAAGACCTACCTGGGAGAGAGTGTGAGTTCAGGGCCAATCTGAGGAAATTCAGTGAGACCCTGTCTCAAATGTAAAAGCAAAAAAGTGGGGCTTGGGAGATAGTAAAGTGCTTCATATGCAAGGATGGGGACCTGTATTCCAACCCTAGAGCCCACATAAATGAGCTTGGTACAGTGGTACTCGCTGGTAATCCCAGCTTGGGGAGAAATGCAGGTAGGTCCCTGAGAATCAGCCAGCCAACCTAGCCCTATTAAGCAAGCCCCAGGCCAGTGAGAGGCCCAGTACCAAAACAGCAAGGTGCTCCTTTCCCCTTGACTGGTCCAGGCCTGCAGGCATCAAGAATGACGCAGCAACAATCCAGACAGGGGAGCTCCTGACTAAGCTACCACAGAAGAAATAAATGATCACTGATGCCCTTCACCCTGGGAAGACAAAGTACCAAAGGCAGAAATTTGGGGAACGCTAGACAAAATGTACAAAGCCACACCAGATGATATTCTGGATTTGGATACAGAACCCATTTTGGTGGTGGCAAGACAAACTGACTTTGATATGATTTATGAGTGTTTGGAATATGCAAAGAAGAATGAGCCTAAACACAGACTTGCAAGAAAAAGGCATGGCCCTTATGAGACCTCCAGAGAAAGCTCTAGAGAACAGCGAAAGGAGCACAGGACAGAATGAGGATAGGGACTGCAAAGGCCTGGCTGGTGCTGGCAGAAAGCAGACGGAGTAGAGAGTCTGCATTTCTAAGGAGAGGACAAATAAACTAAAAGCTTCTGTGTGAAGCACAAAAACAGATGATGGCTGAAGAGGAACACTTGAGGTTGTCCTGACCTGCACATATGTGTATGCTCACCACACATATACATACACGAACACACGTACATAAATATACACCAAAAAATAATAAAAAGGGGGCCAAGGATATAGATTAGTGCAGAGCACTTGCTCAAGCATGTATGGTGATATTTTATTTGTATTAAAATGTTATTTGTATGTTAATAAATAAAGTTGCCCGGGGGTCAGAGCTATTAGCAAGCCATAGGAAAGCAGGGCAGTGGTAGCGTACACTTGTAATTCCAGCACTTGGTAGGCAGAGCTGGGTAAGTCTCTGTGTGTTCAGGGATACAGCCATTATTGGATACACATGCCTTTAATCTTAATACCAATCATGGAAAACCTGGAGGCCTATACAGACAGGCCGTGAGGAGGCGGTCATGTGGTTGGGTTTACAACCAATGAGAAGGCAGGACAGGAACTCTATATAAAGACTTTAACACAGGGGTAGCTCTGGTTCGGAGAGGTAGGACCACCGCAGGAGGAAGGGTAAGGTTTTGGCTCTTGGCTCTGACCTCTTGGCTTTCTTCTTTGCATTGGTTCTGTGTTTCTTATTTAATAAGAAGGTTGGATACATCTACATTTGGCGCCCAACGTGACAAGAATTCATTAAAAACCGCTTGGCTTGGCTTAGCTTGGCGGCAGGTCCGGTTTCCAGCCTGGGCGACCCGGCTGCCTAGCTTGGGCCCAGGCCTGACTGACCCGCCGCTGGAGCTACTTGCAACTGCTACAAACAACTCAGGCCTGCCCTGCCGAACAGGGCCCCTGCCTGTAAAGCCAAGGCTTGACTCGGCTCAAGCGGCTACGCTTTCTCGCTTTCTCTCTCTCTCTCTCTCTCTCTCTCTCTCTCTCTCTCTCTCTCTCTCTCTCTCTCTCTCTCTCGCTGGATTCACACCTCGAACACCAGGTGGCTGTGAAATTCCCTGGGATTCTACTGTTCTACCCAGACTTGGTAAGTCAATTAACATATCTATTTAAAAGAGAATTTTTTTCTACATTAAAAAAAAAAATGGGCTTTATGTGTACATTGGAAGAAAATTGGGCTTTGTTTGAAATTTTAGGCACTCTGACAATGGAACAACTATATGAAAAGATTAATATTGATCGAATTATTCAGTTTATTACTTTTCTTATCCTCATTTTACTATTTAAAAAGATCGTCAACTTAAGTGCCAGGATAACAGTCTTAGAAAAACTTGTTAAACCGGTAAAAATGAATTATAGAGAAATTCAAATTCAGACAGAAGAAATAAATAGTGAAGTTGTTTCAAAATTGGATCGTAAGGTTACAGAAAGAAAGCCAGTTTTCACACAATCACCCTTAATTTATCCAGTAGCCGTACAGCAGCTACCTGATGAAGAGAATGAACAAAATACTTGGGTTCCAGTTGAAATGTTAGACTTACAAAGATTTAAGGAGGCAATAGCATCTTATGGCATGCACTCCCCATATGTAAAGCAAATGTTAAACACCTGGTCAACTTGTAATAGGATTCTACCAAAGGACTGGCGGGAATTGGCACAGGCTGTTCTTGAACCCGGACAAAATCTCCAGTGGAAAATGTGGTTCAGTAATGAGGCTAAAAATATAGAAAGACAATGGAGGGATAGCGGAATACAAGTCTGCCAGGATCAGCTTATTGGCGAAGGCCAATATGCTTCAGTACAAACACAATGTTCATATGATGTCCAAACCCTACTTCTATGTAAAACGGCAGCTTTGAATGCATGGGACAGAGTTGAAGAACCAGGAAAAAAAACTGAGTCATTTACAAAGGTTATACAGGGCCCCAAAGAATCTTTCACAGATTTCTTACCAAGATTGACTTCAGCAGTACAAAAAATGGTCCCGAATTCACAGGCTAGTCAGATAATAATTGAATCTTTAGCCTTTGAGAATGCAAATGCAGCATGCAAAAGAATAATTAGGCCGTTAAAGGCAAGATCTGCACCTTTGGAAGATTGGATTAGAGATACAGTTAATGTAGAGGCTTATGACCATGATGATATGTGGGTAGGAAAAGCAATTTCAAAAGGTTTGAGCAATGTTAGATGTTTTGGATGTGGAAAGCAAGGACATTTGAAAAGGGATTGTAAACAGGTCATTCCTAGAAATAATGTTTATTCAAGGAACACTGGCAACAGAATGCCCCTTCCTTCTGGAGTATGCAGAAGGTGTGGTAAGGGAAAACACTGGACCAACGAATGTAGATCAACAAGGGACAGACAGGGTAACCCTCTGCCTCGAGCTTCGGGAAACTCCCAGAGGGGCCTCAGGCAGGCCCCCACAGTAAATCCAGTTCAAACCTTTCCTGCAGTTGTAGAGGAAACCCCTACTCAAAGCAACTAAATAACCAAATGTCTATTGGAATAAATCACGTTAGTCGAGATGATGAAACAGAGAAAATAGGAAATACAGGAAAAAAACATAAAGAAAATTTTTTGGCAAACTTCTATTAATGAACAAAGACCAAAACTAACAATAAAAATAAATGGTGTTTTGTTGTCTGGTCTGGTAGACACAGGTGCTGACATTACCATAATTG